ACGAGCCTTCGGTTCCAAACTACGGGGCAAAGCAGAGTCAATTCTGAAGTGGGACGAGGATTTCACTGAATCCATGCGGCTGCTTGATGGCGAGCTTCGAGCACAGTGGCTTTTTCGGGGATCATGGCACTGTCTACAAGTTACGACTGCTGCGGTTTGAACTAGCATTTTCAATTTGGTTCGGAATCCCCCCAACAGACGACCCGACAGGCATGTAGCTCCCAAGCCCACAACCCCAAGCCCCGAACTCAAACCCTAGACCCTTAAACCCAATACCCGGCCCTACGCCCGACAGCCGCCCAGTGCAAACAACACGTCCGCGATCTTATGGAAAACCCCGACTCCGGTGCCGCTGCGCAGGTGCGTAGGGAGATCGGGCTCGGGTTCCCCCAGGTACCTTGATCATACTAGAACGTATTGCAGTCTACTTGTAGATTATGTTTGGTGCTGTTCTTTCGTGTTATGTTGCACTGCTAGCCAATAATACTACCTCACACAATATGACGAAACAATCTTATCATGCACGCACGCGCATATATATATATGTATATATATATGTGTGTGTGTGTATGTATCTACGCATATGCATAATAACCTATTATTGCATTGTGTATACACCTACATGCATAATGCAGAGCATATTACTATTTGCTCAACATATTTACAGTAGAGTAACATATTGTGTAATATGGTACAGTACAATATAATGCAAGATAGTACGACAGAATATAGTACCGTATGGTGTAGTAGTGTAGTATAGTACAAGCATTACATTGTTATTTGTTGTAGAATGTTATATTGTATCATATCATCTCATACCAAACTGCATTGTATTAAGTTGCACTGCCTGGTCTTGTCTTGTGCTAGACTAAATGATATGATATTCGATTTTATGATGTTATATGGTTTATATCATGTTCTATCATATAGCAGTATGTAGTATGTAATTTAGCATAACCATATTATGTTACGTTATATTATATGGTACTATTTCATATTAGATGATATGGGACTGTTTTGGATTATTTTATACTCAGTTACATTATATAGTTTCACGCCACATTATAATATATAGCATTTTTCAGTTTTTATGTTATGATATTATTTTATGTTGTAGTATGTGGTGCTATATTATCAGATTTTGGTGCTATGTTATCAGATTTTGCTTGTCTTATATTGTATGATTCATTACATGATGACATATAGTATAATGTTGTATTCGCTGTTCCATCACGTTGCGGTAGGTCATGCTATATTCTTTTATTTTGTATTGTATGATATGACATTCTAGTATGTAGAATGATATTGCATTTTCGTATAGCGGTAGTATATCACGTTATATCACATTGGCTCAAGCTCTTACAGTTTAAAGTCGGCCTTTCATGTATAGTATAGTTCACTGAAGTATGATATACTGTATTATGGTCAGCACGCACTGCATATCCAGAATAGTTCCAGGCAGACGTTAGTTCTTGCGAAGATATGTTTCTTGATATGTGCATGTTCATGACGTGCCAACAATCAGAACAAATGAACATACACTACTATTGACAAGAGCGAAGATGTGTTTCCAAGTTATGCCTTACTACTTACTATGTTTTGGTATGCTAATCTGAGTGTTGCCGTGGTAAACACTAGTACGTAAACGCCCAATATTCCACGGAACCACTTTGATGCGCCGCTTTTTGCAGGCAGCTTCAGTGTGCATTGCAGGCTGTGCCACTTCTGTGCGGCCGTAACTCCACCCGTCACCATTGCCAAAAAGTCAATATGGATATCAGGTACCATGTAAGTCATCGAATCGGCAAAGCGTTTCCCTATTCAAGGCCGTCCAACGGGAATGCGAATTCCCAATGTACCGAGCTTCCCTTACCGATGCAGGCATTTCACTACTTCATCATGGTGGTGATTGTCGCAGCGGTCCCAAGCAAAATTGCACCTTCAGCTGTTTTTGTGAAGAAAACATGTGCTAGCAAGACTAGCAAAAGCGAACATTGAGATGACACGGTAGTCAGGTAGTCAAGTAGTCGTCGTCACTGTCGTCGTTATAGTAGTTGTAGCAGTATCGGTTACTGGAAGTAGTAATTAGTGGTCCTCATAGTCGTGTACAGTGAGCCGCAGCGGCAGGAGCAGTAACCAAGCCCGACAGCCTGATACCTGATGCCGCAGCACCCAGAATAGCATCTCTAATAATATCTGCTATCGCCTGCGATTGACAGCACATGCTGTAGAACACATTGCAGATATTACTATGGTGGCCTAAGGGCAAGACCCAAAACCCAGTGACAACATGTGACAACAAGAGACGCATTCCGGACCACTTTCTGCGACTCCTCAGGTCAGCACGTTCTGCGTCATCGTAGAAACTGCCAGGGGCTCGGCATGTTGCAAGGGGCTCGCAGAGTCCCTGGTTGAAACTCCTCGTGTAGCAGCTGAGCCTTCGTACTTCTGTCGGCTAGGAAGCGCCCAAGTCTACGACTGCAGACTTCAGAGTCGAGCTTGTGCTTGAGATCTGCCTTTCAGCACTAGTCAAATCCGTTCAAGGCCGGGGGAGTGTTCCTGAGCCTTCATTGAGTTCGGCTTGTAGAACTAGGCCAAATAGGCTTAAATAGGCCTTTGCCACTCGCCCCCTGCCCCTGCGAGATGGTTGGGTGAAGAGGGGTGAGGGGACCCAGGAGCCTATGTGGCCACATTGGAGGAAGTAAGTAAGAAAGCAGGTAAGCAGGTAAGTGCATGATGAAAGTAAGTAAGTAACTGCGTATGTACGATACTTAGGTATGTGAGTAGGTGAGTGAGGAAGTAAGTAAGTCAGTGAGTGAGTGAGTGAGTGAGTGAATGAATGAGTGAGTGTGTAAGTAGGTAAGTAAGTAAGTAGGTAGGTATATTTGCATGTATTCGTGTATTTATGCTGTTGAAATTATGCATGTTTCTTGCAGAGGTTCCCGAAGTTTCGGGCAATCCTATCTTTCTCCCGGCCGAGGCATTGTTGGGTGCAGGGGGAGCAAGTGCAACCGTTTTCAACAGCTCAACTCTTGCGAGTCGCGACTAAATAAAGTGTGCCTTGCCTGGAATGACTCCGAAAGTGTCACGAGGAGGGCTGCTGCCTGCTTAGGGAAGCGGGGCTTTGCCTCGGCTGGTAAATGTGGGTTGTGGTCAGTCTCACATCGTCATCCGGCATTGCAGATGTGCTTCACAGCCCTCTTTACGGCCGAGTTCGCTCTGCGGCTTTACGCGTGCGAGAGCGTCGCTGAGCACGCGTCCAAGTTGGACCCTGATTCACTTATTGTTGTAACGGCAGTCAAGGATCTGACGTCAAGACTGCAGAACCGTGCACGGTAACCTGGCAGACCATGCGTAGACCTTTCAGAAGCTGCTGGAACATCCGATGTCCCGCCGAGATTCGCGACGAACGGTTTCAACATTATCGACTTTCTGGCTGTCTTTCCGGGGTGCCCGGTACAGTTTGGAGCTTGAAATCCGGATCTGAGTTGATGCGATGCGTGGGGCTTTAGGATGGTGCGGTCGTGGATGCGGATCAGCACAGACCCGTCTTTGCAGATCAGGTTAGGTGGAACTCGCTGGCATTATTCTGTCAGCCTCAGGTACTTGAGCCTACTGGGCGTCATGCTTCGTCAAGATACGCATCAGAAGCACTCCTTTGCGCACATCGGCCAGGCCGCACCATGATTCTTGCTGCATCTTCCTACTGTTGCTGCTGCTGTTCGGCTGAGTTAGATGTATGTAAACTCTATATGCCACTGGAATTAACTGATTCTGTCTTGCTGTGCATGATCGCATGCTATGTTGAAACACGATCACTATCTGTCAATCTGTCGTTAAATCGTCAGTACCCAGTCTTGTCACGGACTTGTTGAGTCCTTACCTGGTAAATGGTTACGTGCTGCCTCATGGACCGTATATACATACTTACATCCGTAGACATGTAAAAGCATAAGGATGGTGCCAATCAGACGCATGATCCCAGCAGCGCTGTTGTAATGACCATGAAAGTCATAGCTTTGTGCTGTCGGAGAAGACAGTGCTTGGACATTTCGATATTGCTGCGATCAGCCCAAGACAGAGTATATAGCGGCAGAATATCTTGGCATGTCGCACCCATGCATATGTGCATGGATGCGTAAACCCGCATGGGGCCCACATACATACTTAACAGACACACACACATACGTATATGCAGTACATACAGACACAGACAGACAGACAGACAGACAGACAGACAGACAGACAGACAGACAGCCATACATGCATGCATGCATACATACATGCATACGTACAGAGAGACAAATACGTACAAACATATGCATACATCGCACAGCTTTGCCTCCAACATCACAAGACTGTCACAAGACTATCTACAGAGTCTGTCTTGGGCTTGGAAACTTCCTAATGAACATGTTCAGTAAGGCACATGATCAGCATGATCATCTCTTAGAGCTTCGAAGCACGTGCGAATGTGGAGACGTAGTCGTAGCCCTAAACCTTGCAGGCCACGAGATCAATGCGATCCCTGCGCATGGTGCGGGTTGTGCGCATGGTCAAGCGCTGAGTCATGTGGCATCGACAAACCAGCACAGTCTATACTCCGACTCGGCTATACAATCTTCACCCTATAGGCTGCGCAGTTGTATCAGATCTCAACCCTCAATCCTGAGCAGGGACTACTACCGTTGGCAAGAAAGCTAACACCAGCAGCTGTCTCTGTGTACTAGGCCTTTGCAGAGCCGGGAGCCTGTGTGTTGTTCCAAGTATTGGAGTTCTGTCACACATGCTGTGAATTGATTCCAGACTGCAAAGGAGAAATTCGGCACTGCGAAGGAACGCACACCAGGCTTCTGAGATCACCTTGTTTGCTGTAGTTTAAGTACATCAAAATGTGACTAATCTGGTTTGGCGGGGGCTCCATCAGAAGCCATATCTCCCAGTCGCTGTTGACAACCACCACACATTTGTTACTTGTCGAGGTCCGCGTCTTCCGCGTGATGCGCGTCTGCAAAGTGGCGCGGCACTCCGAAGCCTTGGCGGTGACCTTCATGGTCTTCCTGAAGGCTTTCTCGTGCTCCCCGTTATGTTTAGGGCACTAATCTGGGAACCTGCTTAAGAAACCTGAGGTCTTGATTATTGTTCCTAATATGAACCCTAGTATTTTGGGGCTATAGGGCCAGGGTTTCTTAATCAGGTTCCTACATTATCCTGGTTTACACCGGGTGTCTGAAGGAACGTTGGCTAGCACCAGTTCGGGAAGGGTTGGATGGCTTCATGTGTCTGGTCGGGTTTTACTTCATAATTTCTTTGTAGCCGACGGACAGCAATACAGATGGGTCGATACACAGGTCTCTTTCTCATTGTCGCCATTCAGGTCTCTCAATCTGGCCTGGCCGTGGTGCTGATGCTGATGGGCTTCGCAACGGCCGGGTTCAGGGAAGGAATGGAGGGGAACTACAAGAGCAACAAGTGGAAAGAGACCAACGTAACGGTTTCAAAAACGGCCACGACCTCAATACTATCAGCATGACTGCTCAGTCGTTCGAAGTCATGTTCACATGGATATCGAGCAGTGGAACTGCCAGACTAGGATCCAAGTTGCCAGGTTCAGGGTTGGCATTTAAAGGAAATCAAGTTTTGATGCCATGCCTGCAGGGGCTTTACTTCGGCCAGATTAGGCCAGTTTGCGCTTGCAGTTGGGCGTCTTAACAATTTATGCCTTGATGCAAGAGACTACTTAGCTTTCCTTGGTCGTCTCGCTTTCCTTGTTATCCTGCCAGTTCTTTGGATTTCCGAACTGGCTCATGTTTGCAGCCGGAAGAGATATGGACAGACAAATCAAGCAGCACGAAACATTTGTCCAGCCGCACCAGCTTAGCTGGGGCAGTGACAGATACAGAGATATGAGACCACCACTGCAACCTGAGTAAGCAGCCTTGGGAGCAATCCCTTTAGCAACTGCACGGGACTAGAACAGGCCCGAACGCGATCTAGACACCCGAGCAGTACACGAAGCGGCGGCTGCACGCCCGACACCCCAAAACTACAGCCATCCAGACGTGGGCGAATACCGCTCGCATGCTTTGGATTTTCACAGCAGCTGAAGCGTTTTCGCAGCTGGCGAGAGGCTGGGAATTTGGCATCAGGATCCTGTATTTGGGGTTGGTGGGTTGGGGGTTTTGGGGCCTATAAGTCTATAAATATAACATAAAGAAATAGATAAACAAACAAATAAAGAAATATCAGTATAAATATATATATATATGTATATATATATGTATAATGCACATTCATACAACCTATATACATATATAATTCGTGATATATATATATATGAATATGTGTGCAAAAATCTGTTCATTTATGTAAGGGTGTCGGGCTTAAGCTTTACGGACTCGGATGTCAGTTTGATTTCAGCCTTTCCAACTTCCTGAGATCCAGTCCTTCAGCGCCCCTGGCCAGATGCCTTCGGATCCCATGCCAGACACTGCGGATGGCGCAGAAGGTACAGAAGCCTCGGATGAGGACTGGCTTTCGGCAGGTATCACTGCGCAGTAGTGCATGCAATATCTTATATTTTGCGGCAGTGCTGCTCTGCGCTACTACCGGACTATCATGCGCCAAGTTGTGACCGTCATTTCATCGGTATACTCAGTAGCTTATGCTGCAGTGCTGCAGATCCCTCCCCCCCAGCAAATAGCAGACCCCCCCCATTCTTGTTAAACCTGTCGTTAAGAACTAACTGTAACAGAGCATACGGAAGCACCACAGAAATTCAAACACTTCATCCTCTGCGCACGAGAACTAGCGGGACCAAATGAATTCTTGTTAGCCCGGTAATTTTGATTGAAATTTATATGGAAACAGCGCAGTAATTCAATCACATCGTCTTCTGCTTTGACTTATATCCTGCTCTTTTTCAATCAAGCCGCCACATCTTCATGGATTTTAGTTCACTGCACCTGCTAAACTTTCCAACAAGGTACGGGCAAATCTCTTTAAGGCTCTTCAGATATGACACCCCTGACGCAACCTGCGGTGGTTGACGAGTCTGGCCCACAATCGCGCATTACCAGCAGCCACCGCATCATCTTCCCTCCACTCTCCGTCATCCCTCCGCTTCTCCGCTTCCTCGTAAACCCATTGAGATCAAACCCCCCGACTGCTTCCTCCAACATGGCTCGCTGGGTGCATCCCTCACCTCTTCGTCGCACACCGCTCCGCACACCTCTCTGAGATTTTTCCCGAAAGCATCGCGAAGGGTTTTCCGCACGGAGCCCTCGAGAAATACATGGGA